CCCTCTTGTGTGGTATTGACGTTTAGAACATCAATTGGTATCAGAGCAGGTTATCCTTGAAGAGGCTAACACCTTAGGAAAAGATCAACATGAGTGCACCACCTTGGAACTGGGAAGGGCAATCCACTATTAGGCCTCCACTTTTCAATGGTCAGTACTATTCTTGGTGGAAGAAAAGGATGAGGGATCACATCATAGGAGAAGACTATGAACTCTGGGACATAGTCACTGATGGTCCTCTAGCAACTACAAAGAAGAATGCTGAAGGAGTGGATGTGCCAAAAACTAGAGCTGACTGCAATGCTGAGGACTTGAGGAAGTGGGAAAAGAATGCAAAGGCCAAGAAATGGCTTGTGTGTGGACTTGGTCCAGATGAGTACAGTAGAATTCAAAGTTGTACCACTGCTAAGGAAATCTGGGATACTTTACAAGTGCACATGAAGGAACACCTCAAGTGAAGTGGTCCAGAGGAACACTGCTGTATTCTCAATATGAGAATTTCACCATGAAGGAAGGGGAAACCATCCAAGAGATGTATACAAGGTTCACCACACTGACAAATGAACTTATGTCTCTTGGAAGGGTTATTCTTGAAGAAGACAAAGTTGAGAAGATTTTGACAAGGGTACTGCCAATCTCTTGGGAAAGCAAAATCACAGCTATTCAGGAATCAAAGAACATTGCCACTCTCAAGTTGGATNCCTACTGAGTAGTAGGTCGTGGTTTTTTCACCTTTTGAGCCAGGTGTTTTCCACGTAAAAATCTCTGTGTTCTTTATTTTCTGTATTTATTATTCCGCAAACAGCAGTAGTTAGTATATCTAGAAGAACCAGGTTCTTCTAGAGCGAAAATTGGGTACCACACAAATCACCTGCCCCCCCCCCCCCCCTCTTGTGTGGTATTGACGTTTAGAACATCACCTATGGTACGAATTCGGGATGCACATGAATTTCTTTGTGAGAGTGAGTGTTCTTTCGATGTGTAAGTTCTTAAATTATACTTGAATGCATATTTGAGTGCGTGGACTAATTTCTCTATTTAATTGTAGTGAGAGCACATGATTTACATAGGATTGGTAAAGTCCAAGCATTTTGAGTTAGACACTAGAAGTGAGTCATAGTAAGGAATGTATTGGAGTCATCTCTTGAGGTTAGGATGTTAGAAGAAGTTGCGCAAATATTTTAAATAGTCTTGGCATTGGTCTACTTTTGAAGAAAGATGTCAATAGTTCTTATGTTGAGTTCTAAGTGTTGGTATAAGCCATTGTCATTGGTATGATGCTTGAGTATATTTTGAAAATGTGTTTCTTTCCATTGTGCTTAATTTTTAAAGTTGCTCAAGGACGAGCAAGATTTTAAGTGTGGGGTGTTGATAAACGGCTAAAAATGCATATTTTTCGGTGTACTCTCATCTCATAACTTGTGTGGTTATAATAGGTTACATGAGTTTTTATAGTGGATTATGCTCATTACGTGCATTGTTATGTGTAGGAGAAAATTGGACGAAAAGTGAGCAAAACAAGTTGATTCGGGACCAAAAGACAAAAGAAGAACTTTGCTTGTTCGCTCTCGCGTGCACACGAGAGAGCGAACGAGCTAGCTGAGGAAAAGCTTGAGAAAAAAAAACAGCGAATTATGGCAAAAAAGCATGGAAGTGCACGATAGACCTAGAAGGAAAAGAAAAAGAGAAACACTTCGCTCGTTCACTCTCGCGTGCGTAAGAGAGAGTGAACGAGCTAACCCAAAAAGGTTGTTCCGAAGTGGGCTTGTATTCACATATAAATAGTTCTTAAACTCACTTTTGAAGGGAATTGGATGTTTTTAGAGAGAATTATCGACCGAAAGAGGCAAGAACACACTAGGAGCAAGGCGGAGAATTCTTCTACAAGTTTTTCACTTCCTTCTTCCTATTTTCATTATTAGGTATGAATTCTAGTATTGTAGTTTTGCATACTATTATGAATAACTAATTTGTTATCTAGGATTTTTGATGGAACCTTTTGTAGGATGAATTCTTATTAACTTTTTATATAATTGAGCCGTTGGATTTCTCTACTTATTCAACTACGTGTTTATTGTTGTTGATTGAATGGTCATCAATTGACTGTGCCTATTTAGTGTGTATTGCTTGAAAAGGGTACATATTTAGGTAGTTGTTGAACAACATCACTCCAAACATATATGAGGAATCAATACGGAAGGTTTAAAGGTGGGATTAGGAATAGCGAAACCTTAGTGCGATCTTAGTGAGCGGTGAATTAGTGCCAGCTAGCGTGGTTCGGAAGAATATGTCTAGTAAATTGCTGTAGTTGCTCGGAAGAGAATTACATCACCCAAAGTACTCATGCGGTGGAGAATACTTAGGTGAAATTATAAAAAACGTATCGGGGAGAACTCCGACAATTGAGAAAATCATAACTCTAGACCTCCTTAGTCTTGTTAGTTGATAATTTTACTACTTTTTGTATTTGTTAATCAATCAGTTTAAAATAAAAAATTACAATCTTTATAACTAGGAAATTATTTGAACTTGTATTTCTTAGTAATACTGAACAATTGTAACTAAGCTTTAGTTCTCTGTGTGATTCTACTCCGGACTTTTAGATTGGATTATATTTGCAGCGAGCGCTTATCTTTTTAAGACTAGAGTTGGACGTGATCAAAATTTCTCCTTTAAATGGATCTTATAGTGAAAATCCGAATTAGTCGAGTAGTTAATTCCAAATATTTATTGATTAAACTCGGAATAAAAAGTGTTTGAACCGCTAAACGGATGAGTTGAAGACGAACTTTATCATTATATTGAGGTCAAGCAGTCACTTTTCCTACAGTTTATGCGTTGTTGATAGTCTAATTTTGGTTGGTCTTACGTTGAAATATAAGTACCTAAATTCAAGTTAGTTCTATGTTGACCACAACCTCTTCTTCTTTTTCCTTTTCTTCCCCCTTTTCCCCCCTACCAGAATCAGTGGTTATTGTTTTGCGTGAGTTAAATTTTTTTTTTTACTTCGTCTAGGTAAAATTTTCTATCGGATTATTTGAATTTAGATGATATGATGTTACCTTAAAAAGAAAAGAACTAGCGGAAACCTTCTTATTTTGTGACACTCATATTAATCTTATTACATGGTTTAATAGATTTTTTTTAATCTATAACGAAAAGACATAAATATATGACTTAGAACTTCGCTAGAAAAACTAGCTTCTTTTATAATAGTTCGGTCAACTTGTGCATATAACTTGTGCATATTTCAATTATTGCATCAAGAACCCACTTTAAAGCCGGTCAAAATTAACCCTCAATATATAATATAATGAGTCCATTACTCAAATTATCACTCAACTATCCAAAATTATGGACTAAAGTCACTTTTCTTTCATTTTTAACAGAAAAGTCACCAACTATTTCTATTGCACACAAATGGACACTCAACCGAAATTAATAAATTTTCCGGTGGAAAAGAGTACTGATGTGGCAGTCCATATGAATTTTTTATATTTTTAGACCAAATAAAATAATTAACGCCCAAACAAAACATAAAAAATCTATCCACACCCAACCTAACCCGCTAAAAATAAAAATTCATCCGCTAAATAAAACCAAATGCTAAAACACATCCCTATTGCAAAAACATCTCTCTTCTTCTTATAAAAAGCATGGTTATTTTTCATGGTTTCACTCTAGTGCTTAATCTCGCACCGATTATTAGTTTATATATAAAAATTAGAAGAAAATGCGTGAAAAAAAGAATATAGGTCATTGAGAAAAGAAGAACACACGTCACTCTAGTCCTTAGTCATTAACCTCCCACCCATTAGTATTATTTTATAAAACTAGAGAAAATTATGGGAAAAAAAAGAAGAAGAAATCTGCTTTTTATAAGAAGAAGAAGAAGAAGGAGAGGAGATGCATTTACATCAGGGATGCGTATTAGCGTTTGGTTTTATTTAATGGTGGATTTTTATTTTTAGTGGGTTGGGTGGGGTGTATGGGTGAATTCTTATGTTTTGTTTCGGTGTTAATTATTTTATTTGATCCAAAAATATAAAACGTCCATGTAGACTGCCACGTAACATTTTTCCACCGAAAAGTTTGATAATTCCGATTGAGTAGTCATATGTGTGCAATAGGAATAGTTGAGTGACTTTCTTGTAACAAATGAAAAAAAAATAACTTTAGTCCATAATTTTGGATATTTGAGTAATTATTGTTTGTCAATGCTAATACCAAATAATTTTGCTACTGAAAGTTTAGACAGATGAAAATCCTCTATTGTTTTTTCTCCTTCTCTTTTTCTTCTATCTATTATGTATATTCTCGCTACTTACTTTCCTTATTTTTACTTTCTTTATTTTACTTCAACTTCTGGACGAACTGTCAAGCCACCCTCCTTCGATGAAATGCTTGATTTCTTTGTTCTTGACCTGTGTATTTTTACCTGATTTACAGATATGTAGAATATGGAAAATTAAATAAACACTTCACTTTATCAAACGTTAAAACTAAAAGAATAAACATTTGAGGTACTCTACTATGTAATAAATCCTTATCAAGTTATAGCTTTGTAACAAGAAGAATTTCCATTGCACTTTTGCTGCCTATATTTAGGAAACAATGTTTTAGGAGTGACAAAAGAAAACTAATACTCCCTTCGTTTCAAATCAAATGAGTTACTTTTCTTTTTAGTTTGTTCCAAAACAAATAACATATATCTAATTTAGAAATAATTCTATTTTAAACTCTTCATTTACCCATTTTACCCTTAATGAGAAGCTTTTATAACCACAAAAATGTCATGGCCCTACAGAGCTTTATCCGTTAAATTTTTAAAATCACAAGTTTCAAAAACTTTTTTTTTTCTTAAATTCTGTACCGATTCAAAATACCTCCGTCTAAATTGAAACGGATGGAGTAATAAAAAAGTAAATCGCCTAGTGTTGGGATTACTGTGATTGTCTGGTTGCTCCATGTGACATATCTCATCGCCTCTACACCACTTTGGGCCTCTGGCATTAAAGTCTCCTACTTTGCTTCCCTTTCCCTTTTCACACACACACACACTCAAAGACCTTACGTATTTCTATCACCCCATTAATTATTCTCCTCTCCCCTCTCCCAATGCCCCACACACTTTATTTTTTTATCATCTTGTCTAAAATTCAGATCTAACTGAGGCTTTAAATTTTGGAAAAAAGCCTCGTTAGATCTTCAGAAACAAGAGTCATTGATTTCAGTACATATGGCTCCACTTCCACATTCATGCAGCTTTACTAAGGTACTTTTAGTACTCTATCTTGTTTTTGTGTTACTCACTCTGTCATTCTTTTCTGCATATAGTGAGGTCCAACCCCAGAATAATGTTAGTAGCAGAAGAATGTTGGAACTAGAAAATGAGTCAAAGCCAATTAAGAAGAAAACAAATCCAACTTCACTTTCAGCTTCCAAGAACCAAACCAAACTTATTAAATCCTCCAATACTTCTTCCAAGAATCAAACCAAGCAAATCAAGACTTCTTCTTTTTCTAGCTTTGGTTCAACCAAGAACCAAACCAAGAATAAAAGCAAGCTTGTCAACCCCAGCTCCAATTCTACTCCAACCATTACCAATTCACAGAAACTTTCATTCAAATCCCAGCTCCAGAAGGTCAATCCCACTTCCTCCAAGCCCTCAATTTCAACCAAAATCAGTTCCTCCACCACCAAGAAATCCTCAGATCTAACCAAAATCAGCTCAAGCTCTTCTCCCAAGAACAAAACAACCAAAGCCACTAAACCCCAATTAGAAAAAGACACCAGTGGGTCCAAGTCCAAATCCAAAACTCCAACTAAAAACCAGCCCATTGACAAAACGACCAAAGCCATTAAAACCCAATTAGGAAAAGACATCAGTGAGCCAAAATCCAAACCCAAAACCCCTATTAGTAAAAGCCAGCCTACAGACAAAAAACCCAAGACACAACAGACAGCCCAAAAAAATTCACAGTACAGCTGGGTTGAAGATGATGAAGATGATTTAATTTCGGGATTCAGAGATTTACCCTCCAAATTCCAAGAAACCCTTTTGCCAGATTTTGAAAGAATTTCAAAGACCTCTAAAGTTTACCTCAACAAAGCAAACAAAGAAATAACAAAGAACTTCAAGCCCTATATCGGAAACAAATATGCATCAACAATTGCCTCTATTATCTCATTTGCATTCATCTTGATCCCTTTACTACTTGTTTCTCTCATTTTCAATAAAATCAAAGCCTATTTCTCTCTCCAAAAGCTCTTAATCTTCATCCAAGTTTACCTCTCCATTTACTTCTCAATTCTCTTTTTTTCCTCTTTGGTCACTGGCTTAGAACCTTTGAAGTTTTTCTATGCTACTGCTCAGTCCACTTACATTTGCTTACAAGTATTGCAAACTCTTGCTTATGTGTTGTACCTATTGATGCTGCTAATGTATCTGATCTTAGTGTTTTCCACTGAGACTGGGCCCACCACCAAGCTTATTGGGCTGGCCCAAACAATTGTGGGCTTTGCTGTTGGGCTTCATTATTACATGACGGTGTTTCATAGGGCTGTGCTCCATCAACCACCGAAGACTAGCTGGAGGGTTCATGCCATTTATGCTGCATTCTTCCTTGTCATTTGCCTGGCAACTACTGCTGATAGAAGGAAAAAGGCTTATTTAGTACAAGGTGGTGAGGTTGAGAAAAAGAGCTAAAGTTTTTTATTCACCTTTTTTTTCTTCTTTCTTTTTTCCTTAATCATCTATAGTCAGATGGCAAAAACGAAAAAAGAAAGATTTTTGTCGTCCAATATTTTATCTTTTTTTTTTTTTTTTTTGGTTATAGATATATGTCTTGCAATTTGTCATTTGTTGAAATGTTATTAATAATTGATGGAATCAAATTTATGCAATTATCCAGATAAATGCACTTCCTTTGTATCACTCTAATTAAACAGTGTTGTTTTACTAGCTTGGATGGTTGTTGTTTCATAATATATTATATTATATTGTATTATTTTGATGAATACAACATGATATTTTGTATATCGTTTTTTCGTCATTTTATAATACCATGCATTAATAATAATGATATGGAGAATAAGTTTCCAATATTACGAGCCAATGGCCTTTTATTTCTTTGCTTCGTGTTCAAATTCCGCCCAGTACATACTTTGATTGTGAGTACATTAAATTTATTTTTCAATTTGATAGGACGGTTAAATTGACTCCCAATGTCATGTCATTCTGGGATTTGGACCATATGGTCTACGTCTTATTAAAGATTAGATAAGATTGAAAGAGAACTCTGAAAACTGAAAAGCAGAGTAAAGCTTAGAAAGAGAATTAATACTCTCTTTTTCACGCTCATTAAAAAATATTAAATAAAAAAGAGATTAGACTATTATTTCTCTTTTACACGCTCGTTAAGAAATATTAAATAAAAAAAAGATTAGACTATTGTATCATTATTTATGTCTTAAGATATAATCTTTTATCATTGAATATTTATTTTATTTATGTGTTATCTCTATCTTCGAGAATAATTATTACTAAGGGTAAAAAGAAAAAAAAATAATCTTTTGTCTTGAACTTCTAAAATGACAAATAATTTGAGACAACTATTTTTAGTAACCATGACTATTAATATGAGACGGAAGGAATACTCCCTCCGGTCCGTAATAAGTGACCATTTTACTTTTGGCACACCTATTAAGGAAATACGAAATCCTAGGAAAAAAAAAGATGTATTCACTAAATTAACTTTAATTAATTGTTATCTTGACACATTGGAATATGTATGTGATGACCCGATAGGTCATCTAGAGTTTTAGAACCTAATACTATGTTTTGAAGCCTCATATACCTCATTTTAGTCTTTCGCGATTCGTGTGCGCGATCCGGGTGTTTTTCCGGAAGTCTTTTCTGTTAAAAACTGATAAAATATAAAATTTTGCCTTTAAAATCCAATTGAGTTGACTTCGGCCAAGGTTTTGAGCAAACGGACTCGGATCCGTGTTTTAACGGTCCCGGTGGACCGTATCGTGATCTGGAATCCTGAGGGCTCGGGTGAGTTTCGGATAGGCTACGGAGCGATTTGGACTTAGAAAACTCAGTTGGTGTTCTTCAGTTTCTGGTGCAGGTCTCAGACCTCGCATTTGCGATATGGCAGCATACCTGTCAGGTTCGCATTTGCAACCTGTTTCTTCGCAATTGCGAAGAGGGGCTGGGGGGGGGGTTCAGTAATCGCAATTGCGATCAAATGGTCGCATTTGCGGGATGGCCAATGTTCGTAATTGCGTATAAATTATCGCAATTGCGATGATAGCAGAAATGCTGGGACTTCGTATTTGCGGCATCTGCAATTGGTCAAATTCGAGTTAGATGAGATTTTCTCTTATTCTTCAAATTTTTAAACCTAGAGAACCCCAGAGGCGATTCTCCCAAGAGTCCTTGTTCCCCAGTTCATTAGTAAGTGATTCTAAACTATTTACTTCAATCTTTCATTACATTCCATAAGATTTCAACCTAAAATCTAGTATTTTGATGGTGGAAATTGGGGGTTTGGGTAGAATTAGAAATTTTTGTAAAATTAGAATTTAGACCTCAAATTGAGGTCGAATTTTAAATAAATTTCATAGCCGGGCTCGGGGGTGAACTGGTAATCGGGTTCCGGTCCGACTTTTAGGTTTGGACCAAGCGGGCCCGGGAGTTGACTTATGTTGACTTTTTCAATAATGACCTAAATTGAACCTTTTTCAGTCGTAGCTAGTTCTTAAGGCTTATTTTGAATAGTTTGTTTGATAATTTGCTAGATTTTGTTGGTTCGGAGTCTTGTTGAAAGGCAAAGTTGTGGTTGAAGTTTGAGTTGATCTTTGGAGCGAGGTAAGTGTCGTGGTTAACCTTGACTTGAGGGATTAGGACTTGTTTGCCTACTTGCTAATTGTCTAAATGTTGGGTACAACGTATATGTGAGGTGATGAGTACTTATGCGACTTGTTTCTTTTAATTTATTGCTTCCTTTGATCATGATATTCATGCTTAGACTAATTAATTACTAAATTGAGCATTCTTTCCGCGTTTATGGACTATCTGTGATAATTGAGCATTGTTCCTGAAATTGAGGTTGGTATTCTGGAACCATTTTGACATAAGGCTTGTTCTTGTTCATTCTATATCCCTGTTGTTATCTATTCATTGTTATATGGTAAGGGAGAACGTTAATGCACGAAGGATGATGCCGTGCCATATTGTGAGTGTTAATGCACGAAGGGTGATGCCATGCCATATTTTGAGTGTTAATGCACAAAGGGTGATGCCGTGCAATATTGTGAGAGTTGATGCACGAAGGGTGATGTCGTGCCGTATCTATTGACTTATGATGAATTTGAGAGTAAAAGCACGAAGTGTAATGTCGTGTCGTTATTTCTATTTCATAGTGAGGTTGAGAGTAAAAAAACGAAGGTTGATGCTGTGCAGTTTTATTCATTATGTTTATTTGTTTTCCTGGTTAAAGGTATATTGACTGTTACTTGTTATCATTATTGCTGTAATTATCGTATCTTGTACCCCTTTCGCATGTCCCCTTCCTAGTAGTACATGATTAGCCTTTATTTGTTATTATGTTGTACGTTTATTGTTATCTGCACAGGTTTATTACGTGGGTGTCTTGTCACTACCTCGTCGAGGTTAGGCTCGACATTTACGGAGTACATGGGGTCGGTTGTACTCATACTACACTTTGCACTTCTTGTGCAGATTTTGGTATTGGTCCTAGTTGCCAGTGAGGTGCATTATCTTGGATGAACTGACTTGGAGACACGAGGTAGATCTGCTGGCATCCGCGGACCTTTAAGTCCCCTTCCACTTTCCCCCTTATTTATTGTTCTTATCATTCGAGACAGTTGAACTTATTTCAAACTCTGTATGTTGAAACTTTAGAAGCTCGTGAATTGTGACACCAGATCTAGGTTGTACTTAGATGATATTGGGCTTTATGTTATTCCGCACTCAGTTCTAGTTTCTTTTCGGGTTAATTGATTGTACTTATTGGAATTGATTAAAATTGGCTTAAAGATCCTCTAACGTTGGCTTGCCTAGAAAATGAAATGTTATGCGCCATCACGGTCCCGAAGGTGGAAATTTCGGGTCGTGACAATATAAATAAGGGCAAATTTATTAATTTCTTCTTGCTTATGCAAATGGACACTTATTTTGGACCAAAATAAAAACGTAAAATAATCACTTATTGTGGACCGGAGGGAGTACTTAATTGTTATTAGAAAGTATAATGTCATGATAGTATGAACGGAAGTTGCATGTCATAGAAATTAGGTTAAATCTTTGTGGCTGAATATAACACATAATGCCTCTAAAAATGTTTATAGTTGTATATCTTAGTGGAACTGCTCCTTTTTCCGTTTACCAAAAATATCCAGTTCTCCATGAATTCGAATACATAGTACTTTTTTTCACAACCCCAATTTTTTTTCGTAGGATATCGTGATGACACTTAATATTTAAGATTAGGTAAGTCAAATATTCATGCAGAAATAACTAAAATAATGATTAAAGTCTCAATAACTCAACAAATAATATATAAAAACTCCGCAACTTAGTATATACAATTTTCCAAAACCGGACGAATACAAGTCATAAAAGGATAAGAAATAAAATGGTCTAGGTAGAGGGGCACTTCGAGGCCTACGGACGCCGTCAGGCAGTGACGGATACAGGATTTTAAAGTTGTGGGTGCTCACTGATAAAAATTCCGAAAGAAGAGGAAAAACGAGTTTAGTTATGGGTGCTCACACAATATTTATCTAAATCTTGTCAAAGTTAATGGGTGCTTGAGCACCCAAAATCAGCATGTAGATCTGCCACTGCTGGCAGGTATACCTTGAAGTCTCCGAAACTGAGCTCTCGCTAGTGCCTGGACTGGTAGGAGGTACCTGGATCTACACAAAAAGATGTGCAAAAGAGTAGCATGCGTACACCACAACGGTACCCAGTAAGTGCCAAGCCTAACCTCGATAGATTTGTGACGAGGTCAGGTTAACGACCTACTGGAATAAATAAGAAATTAAACGAGTAATTAACAATGTAATAATAATAACAATGAAAATGAAACAAGTAAGAAGTATACTAAGATTGGCTACACTGAACAAGACAAATAATGCATCACGGAAGAAAACGCGGAATGTTATGACACGGAATAAGGCAACAGAACACAAGTGAAGTAATAGAAAAGTATCAACAAGAGTCACTACCGAGGTACTGCATCGTAGTCTCAAATCACAATTTTATTTTATAATATTTTCTTATATCACCACGGGAGCCTTGCATTTAGTTTTGAAAATCATTTTTTCCGAAATATCTTCCTGCGTTTTAGCCCACCTTATCACACTGCGTGGCTTCAAGTAGTTTCCCTACTAGAAACACGCATATCAAGCCCCACCTTATCTCACTGCATGCGTTTCAACCCCAAAACTTTATATCACCACATGGGTATCAATATCACAATGTACCACAAATCGCACCTCAAGTGCCCAATATCACAACTTGCCAAGAAAAACAATAACAACAGTATTTTCACAACAAGTAGCCTATGGCTCAACCACAATATGCACAAGAGTATCAGTAGTAACAACCGGAAGTGAGTAACTCAACAAGAACGATATTTCACAACTTTGCGATTTTTCCTCAATGTAAATCATGGCCTTTATTACTCAATACCAATTTCAACGACAAGATATTTCAAAAATAACAACTTCAAGTAAGGAACTCAACAATTAAATAATAAATAAGGAATAGAGGAAACAATTCTTCAACTAAACATGTAAGGCAATTAACAAAGAAGAGATAAGATAAGTAAAGCATGTGATGATAGACTAATGATGATGAATATAACATGTTAAGGTAA